AAAAAAAAAAAAAAAAAAAACAGAATACGGGGTCAGGGGGCACTGTGGCTCATGCCTGTCATCTCCCAGCACTTTGGGAAGCCAGGGTAGGTGGAGTTCAAGAGTTTGAGACCAGCTCTGGCAACATGGCAAACTCTATCTCTACAAAAGATACAAAAAAACTAGGTGGGTGTGGTGGCACATACATACCTTTAGTCCCAGCCACTTGGGAGGCTGAGGTGGGAGGAGGGCTTAAGTCCAGGAGGTTGAGGCTGCAATGAGTCATGATTGCACCACTGTACTTCAGCCTGGGTGACAGAGTGAGACCCTGTCTCCAAAAAAGAAAAAGAAAAAAAGCAGGGGAAGGAGTGAAATTAACATGGCCAAGCTTCGTAGCTAATAAAGTGGCAAAAGGAAGGATTTGACACTCTGATTCCCTGACTGCAAGGTTTGTGCCACCTTTCAGTTTCCAGGGACTGTGAGGGCCCAGTAGTCTCAGCTTACATGGGCGTTCTAATGAGAACAGAAGGAAGACGAATGCAAAAGGGTTGTGCCAGCAAGGACTTAATGAGAACCCGCTGTGGTGGCTCTGGCTGAGCTGCAAGAGCTTCAGCACTTGCTAATGGAGCCGCGGGTTTGGCTTCAACCCTGCATACAGCAAGTGGACTGGACCTTCCATCAAATCTACAAATCTGTCCTTTATCAATTAATTAAACATTTGCTGAGCCAGGACCTGTATTAGACCTAATAGACTCTGGTACTACAGCTGGTGGGGAGTAACTGACTTTATTGATTATGCACCTACTAGGTGCCACCATTCCTTCCTGTGTATGCTGCCTCTGTTATCACAATGATCCTGTGAGGAGAACAGTCATGGCCCCATTTTAGAAATGAGAACTTAATCCTGGTAAATCCAGGGTATTAAAAAATAAAAAATGAGAACTTAAGGCACCATAGTGTCTGTAAAAATAAATTTTTTTAAAACTTTTAATGAAAATGAGAAAAATGAAGCACAGAGAGATGAAGAACTTGCCTAAGGTCACGGAATCAGTGAGCAGTGGTGCTATGTATTGGCCTGACTCCGAAACACATGCTCTTAGTCACATTTACCATCTCATATACTGACACACATACCCAGTTAGGCCTCTGAAGCAAAGCCAACCTCCAAAACAAAAGATGCCTGAGCCAAGGCCACAGTAATTTCTGGTTTTTAAATTTTTATTTTTAAATTCTTTTTTTTTTTTTTTTTGAGATGGAGTCTTGATCTGTTGCCCAGGCCCTGGTGTGCAGCGGCACGATCTTGGCTCACTGCAGCCTCAACCTCCCGGGTTCAAGCGATGCTCCCACCTCAGCCTCCCAAGTAGGTGGGATTACAGATGTGTGCCACCATGCCCAGCTAATTTTTGTATTTTTCGTAGAAAGGGAGTTTCATCATTTTGGCGAGCCTGGTCTCAAACTCCCGACCTCAAGCTTTGGCCTCCCAAAGCGCTGGGATTACAGGCGTGAGCCACCGCGCCCAACCTAAAAATTCTTTATTCTCAAGTTCAATAGTCATTTCTAAGAATGATATCTTTTGTCTGCTGCCTGTAACTGATGCTCAGCAGAATCCTGCCTGGCTTATCAACTTGACAGATGCCCCCATCACAGGGTTTCTCATCCACTTTCATCTCTTCCTGGTTATTTGCTAAATGGTGAGTCAGTTTGTTTTCAGAGGCCCCTGGACTTTCTCTTTCTCTTTCTCTTTCTCTTTCTCTTTCTCTTTCTCTTTCTCTTTCTCTTTCTCTCTCTCTCTCTCTCTCTCCCTCCTCTCTCTCTCTTTCTTTTTAAATTTTGAGATGGAGTCTTGTTGTGTTGCCTAGGCTGGTGTGCAGTGACACAATTTTGGCTCACTGCAGCCTCAGCCTCCCAGGTTCAAGCATTCCTCCTGCCTCAACCTCCCAAGCAGCTGTGACTACAGACGTGCACCACCACACCCAGCTAATTTTTTTTGTATTTTTTGGTAGAGATGGAGTTTTGCCATGTTGCCCAGGCTG